GCGAGCCTAGAGCCAGGGCGCTTTCATTGCACGGCGGAGCTTCTTGTCTCGGGAAACACCGGGCGTCGTTGCTGCCCGGAGGGGAGAGCAAATCTGGGCTGCGCGATTGGGGGACTTCGTGGCTTTGGGTGGGAGCGAGGACGGATGGAGTGCGTGAAGTGGGGCTTGCCTGCCCTTGCTGGCTGCCTCTGCTTCCTTAGGGGCGGGGAAGGGGGCTCATCTGGACCAAGGGTGAGTCTCCCCCTCAGTTTCCCCAGAAGGATCTTCCGTTGCTTTTGCCTTCTCCCTACGTCTTCCCTCTGTTAAAATCCCCCCCCCACACACACACACTTATTTTCGGGAGGATAGATTTCGTGTCTGAGCATTCTTACATGATGGTGGGTCTTCCCCCCCCCCTAAAAACAGTTAAAAAAAGAAAAAACAATATATCCTCATGCAAGAACTTTTCTGCTTCCGATTACCCCCATGCTTACAAGTTGCAAAGGAAACACGGAAGCAGGGAAGCGGCTGCCCAGCTCCGGAGCTCCACACCATTTTTTTCAGAGGGGAATCTGACTCGAGTATAAGCCGAGGGGGGTTTTTTTCAGCACAAAAAATGGGCTGAAAAACTTGGCTTATACTCGAGTATATACAGTACTACATATTCATTAATTATCTCTCCTTTTAAATCCCATTAAACGGTTAACTTTTTATTACCTAAAACATTAAAATTAATAATCCCTTTAAAACTACATAGCATATATAAATCAGATTCTGCATGGTTTTTCCCATTTTAATTCTATAAGATTTGTTTACAATTTCAAAAAAGACATATTAATCTACTCATTTGATCCTGAACCCTAATGTTAATTCCATTTCAGCTCTCCTATATTATTTCATTTATTTCAGTATATTTAATACACATATTTCTTACAATTATTTCAATACATTTAATAAATATATTCCATTAGTTATTGCAGTTATCTCTATACATGAAAGAAAAGAGCTTGAATTCCAATATCAAAGAGTAACAGTTCTATTTCCCATCTTGTCAGTCTTTATGTCCCTATTTCATAACTTTAAAATTGTTTATGCTACCCCCCATCACCTTGCAGAATCCCCCTTTTAAATATTAATCAGCCATTATCTCTGTGTCTTTTAATTAAGCAGGTTTTTTTCATTTTTTTACAATTCCCATATTTATTTTCAAATCCTGTTTCTTATCCCTTCTTTCCCCTTCCATTTTCCCCTTTATTCTTTCTCTCCAGTTTTTATCCCTCTCTATTTACAGCTTCCTTCAACTTTCTGCTGATTCTTTTTACCTTTTTTAATTTTCCAGATATTCTCCTCTTTATTTAACTTCTTACATCTATACTTATTTCCCACTCTTGACCTCCTCCTTTCCAGAATTCTTTGTTCTTGGTGGTAATTAAAAATGGCCTCTTCTGTAGTCCGTTCCACCTCCTCTGTCTTTTGTCTTTGTACATATTCTGCAATTGTGTTTTCCATAAATTTTAAAGTAAAGCCTAATGATTCACCTCGCTCTTGTAATGTTTCTTTCATGTTTCTAAGTTCCATTTTTAATTCCAGAAGAGATATCGCCATTTTACACCTTTCTGGCTAACAATTTAATCCAAATAGTGTCTATAAGATTACTTTCCAACAGTCAGCTTTTGTTTTATTCCTCTCAGGTTTTAGTCCTCAGCTAATTCAATACCAGGTCCATGCCAGAATCAACAGTTAGTCCAAGGGCAGAATCTTCCTGTTTCTTTCTTTGTTTCAGTGTTTCAGTTTTTCAAAGTTCTTGTTTTATTATTTCAATTTTCCTTACAATTTTTAAGACTCTTTTAGAAAAAAAACACAAGTTAGATTTAACCATTAGATGGCACTCTTTGTTATAACAGATCTTCACCCCTTTTTTTTCAACTATTCAGAGCTTTTTAAACCACAGTTCCATAGTCTTCCAAGAAAAAAAATCAAATCCAATTGGTATTAAATTTCCTTGGACACTCTCTAGTTCAGCTTAATTAGTGCCTATATAGAATCAGATTATACTTATCCAAATTAATTAGATGTTTTCTTCTTCCAGCTTCTACCTTTCTTGGTTCAAAGCCCCGCTGCTGTCAAAAGCAATTAACACCTTTTTTTTTCTCCTTTCTCTTCGCTGCTTTAAATTCTTTATTAAAAATTTTTTTTAAATTAATCCTGGGGTACTTTCCATTTAATTATAGCATCCCTTTCCTCCTGCTGTCTGCTTCTTTCTCTCTCCTACACAATCTTATTCCAGCTTAATCTTCCCCTTCAGGGTGGCCATTTTAGACCACTGCTTCAGACGTCTTTGGGAGGGAGTAATTGCCAAGCCAGGGAGGGGATTTGCGGCTCCCCTCTACCCACCTGACGGTCGGCCCTTCCTCCGCCACCCCTATGAGACAGCTTCTGCCCCAAATCTAACTGATCAGGGCTCTCCGACAAAGAAGCACGGACCAAAGCCATGGACAATTGCGGTCAGTGGTCCGTCTTCGGGGAAGTTCAAAACCAGAAGCTTTCTTTTATGTACACTGAGAGAATATGCACCAAGACAAATTCCTTGTGTGTCCAATCACACTAGGCCAATAAAGAATTTTATTCTATTTAATTGGCTTCACATACCAAATCCTAACTTGATCAAATATGTTTCAGTTGTGCCGTCAGCCAGAAACTTGGAGATCTCATTTTGAATTCTGCAGAAAATGCCCATTTTGTTCAATGGATCTCTCTCTGAATTGGTGAAAGAAAACTGCCAAATTATTCCTGGGGTTGTCTGTTAATAGGAAAACTTGTCTCCTTGTTCAGGATGTTTTGTCCTTTGAGGAAGTGGCTGTGTATTTCTCCGAGGAGGAGTGGTCTCAGCTGAATGCTGACCAAAAAGCGCTGTATGGAGAAGTCATGCTAGAGATTTCCAGGAATTTGGCTTCTCTAGGTAAGAATCCCTATCATAAGGAAGACATGAAGAAGAGGGCTTAGATATTATATTATTTTTTTATTTATAACCTGCCTTTATTATTTTTTGTAAATAACTCAAAGCAGCAGACATACGAAATACTCCTTCCTCTTCCTATTTTCCCTACAACCAAACTCTCTGACATGGGCTGGGCTGAGAGAGACTGCCACAGGTAAGATCATCAGCCAGACCAGACATGTCAAACACAAGGCCCATGGGCGAAAACCAGCCTCCGATGGGCCCAATTCTGGTTAGCGGAGCCACCCTGGAGATGGCAAGGCATTGATCTCTGCCAACCCGGCCAGGTGCCCCTGTGGAGCACAAAGGATGTGATGAGTGTGCAGGGGCCATCCAGCAGCAGCCACAGCCCATTAATCCCTTAGCCGGCGCACTGTGGGGCTGCACAGCCCATGCAGCGCAGCTGAATGCTAGCACTGCAACTGCCAGGCCGGCCCTTGAAGCAGCAGGCAGACGCATGTGATCTGACCTGCAATGGCCCATGGGGCTTCTCTGGAGATGGTGAGGGACTGGTCCCCACTGTCCATGGCCAAGTCCCGCAGGGTGTCCCTTGTGCGCACAGGAGACGGCAAGTGCGGGGGGGGGGGGGGGGCGGAGGGATGTCTGGGTGCAGCCCCTGCCCCATTGCCCAGCGCACTCTGGGGCTGCTCAGCCCACACAACGCAAGTAATCCAACCACTGTGACTGCTGGGCTGGCCGTCCAACCAGCAGATGGAGGCAGAAGTGCAGGGGAGAGGCACACAATCTGGCCTAGTGGATGCACTGTATGGCCAACCCACCCACTCCATTCCTCCATCGGTCTTTGCTTACCCACGGCCACGATGGGACAGGTAGCCATGTATCGTCTTTGGTGGGCCAGATTACATGCCTCAGCTCCATGCCTCTGCCTCCGCCTGATGCTGGTGCCGCTGCCTGCAAGCCGTGGCAGGTGGGGGTGCTGCCACTTCCAGACCCTTATGGGCTTGGTCCCCTCAGTTCAATCCTGTCCTCCAGCTCTTGTGCATACGACCGGAATGCGAGTGACTTCAAGCTGGTCACACCCACCCACCCCTTCCCCAGAGAAACCACAATGCTGATGTGGCCCTTAGTGAAATAGAGTTTGACACATCTGATTTAATGGTAGATTTAATTGGAATAATATTTTGACCCCTAGGGAAGATGAGTGCAAAAAGAAAGAGCTATTCCGTCGAGTTCAAGAAAGGAATAGTGGAGGATTCTCTGGGCAAGAACCTTACGGATTTCTGCAAAGAGAAGAAGTTGGGTCTCCGAATGGTCCGAAAATGGCGAGCAGAGTACAATAACCTCAGTCAACAGATGGATGAAGGAAATGCTAAGAAGCGCAGGTGTGGATCAGGTCGGCAACCATTTTTTCCTGAACTGGAAGATATCAT